ACAAATGCTGTGACAAGAAGCAGAATAAAGAAGAATGTGAATCCCCCAAAGTTGAAGTAAGTTGCTGCAAGGATGAAAAAGAAACTTTGTTGATGTCAGAACCGAGGGAAGAAAAGGGCCAAGCAACTTGCTGTTCTAACAAGAATAACAAATGCTGTGAAAAGAAGCAAAATAAAGCAGAATGTGGATCTACCAAAGCTGAAGTAAGTTGCTGCAAGGATGAAGAAGAAACTGTGTTATTTCTCGAACCGAGTGGAGAAAAGAGCCGATCAACCTGCTGTACTGATAACGATGACAAATGCTGTGAAAAGGAAGACGAAGGGGAATGTGGATCTACCAAAGTTGAAGCAAGTTGCTGCAAGGATGAAGAAGGAACTTTGTTGCTTACACAATCGAGTGAAGAGCAACCGGCTTCTCAAAGTTCTAGCTCAGCAGTAAAAGCCAAGGGAACCCTTCCTCCACGACACACCACCAAACTACGCGTACAAAACATCTGTTGCGGTTTGGAGGCTGAACTGGTTCAAGAATGCCTAAAGCCCTTGCAAGGGGTCGAAAATGTTGCCATTGACGTCATTGGACGAGTCGTGCTCGTACGTCATGACCCCGATGTGACGTCATCCACTGAACTCGTTGAGAGCCTGAACCGAGTTCACCTTGGAGCATCCGTGATGGAAATGGGTGCGCATCACGATAAAGATCACGACAAAATCCCCTTGCTTCTCAAAATTGGCTTTATCTATGTATTTCTACAAACTTGTCTTTTTATTACCGCTGTTACGGGATTTTTTCTCAAACAGCCATGGTATATGTAGGTCGCTATCGCTGAGATTATCTTTGGAGGTGCTCCTATAATGAAACGCTCGTTCTTTGCTGTCATAAAACGAAAAATCGACATAAATATTCTAATGATAGTCGCTATGATAGGAACAATGACTCTTAGTAAATGGATAGAAGGAGTTACTGTAGTCTACGCCTTTACCTTTGCCCATGCTCTACAAGAATTCTGCATGTTTCGAGTACAGCGGACTATCTCCAGGCTCATGCTCAAAAGACCAGAAGTCGCGGTGCTGGTCGAAACGGGAAAAAGTGTACCCATTGAAAGTGTTGCTATAGGAACACTGATAGCAGTAAGGCCAGGAGAACTCATACCTCTTGATGGAGTGGTAGTCAAGGGGAAAGCGGCGGTCGACGAAAGCTCAATCACTGGAGAGTCTTTACCCGTAGAAAAAACGATTTCATCTGAGGTCTACAGCGGTACAGTCAACCAAAATGGCTACATTGAAGTTGAAACTACTTCAGATTCTTCCACTTCGACTGTTTGGAAAATTGCGCAGATGGTTCAAGAAGCACAATCAAGCTCTACAAAAATAGAAGCGACCATTAATCGTTTTGCCAAATACTATACACCACTCGTCGTGGTGGTTGCTGCTCTAGTAGTTGTCGTACCCGCTATTTTGGGTGCTGCAGGTGTTGGCAATTATTTAGAGGAAATCCGAGAATGGGGCCGGAGGGCGTTGGTCATGTTAATCATCGCCTGCCCCTGCGCTCTGGTCATGTCCACCCCGATTGCTGTCGTATGTAGCATTACTGCGGCTGCGCGGAAAGGAGCGCTGATAAAAGGAGGTGAACACCTGGAGACGTTGTCCAAGATTGAGGTACTTGCGTTCGACAAAACTGGAACATTGACAGAAGGGAAATTTCAGGTGATGAATATGGAATGCACTTATGGCGAGAATGAGAGGGATGTCCTACGCTTAGCAGCGGGGTTGGAGAGCAAATCTGTGCATCCTATTTCCGCGGCAATAGTCAACAAATTCTCGGGATGCGTCACAGAGATGGTTAGGAATCAGGTCATTACTCTGCCCAAAGTTACACAATTCAAGATGTACGAAGGAAAAGGAATATCAGGGCTTATTGAAGGTAAACTTGTCCGCGTTGTTAATAAGGAAATRGTTGATCAATGCGGGGCATCTCTAACTGAAGCAATGGCGGAGAAGTATGAGCTGTGGTCAAGCAGAGTAAGACTGTGGTGTTCGTTTGTGTCAATGAAAGATTGTCCCTCATGATAGCTCTAGCTGACGCCATACGCCCCAACACGTCGACCAGCCTCGATTGGCTGAGGAACATCGGTGTCCAGACCTCCATGATCACTGGAGACAACTCACGGACAGCAGAGGCCGTGAGCAGGAACCTTGGACTAGATGAATGCGTCTCTGAGATGAAACCCCATGTCAAACTTGAATGGATTCAAGAAAAGCAAAACAGTAAGATGGCGTTAGGCTACAATGTCTCACGTAATAAATGGCAACGATCAAGTGTTCAACAATTGATGGTGGGGATGGTTGGCGATGGAGTCAACGATGGCCCTGCTCTGGCCGCGGCGAATGTTGGGATGGCTATGGGTGCAGGGGGCACTGCCCTAGCTGTGGAGGCTGCAGACGTGGCATTGATGAGTAACGACCTTGAAAAGATCCCTGAGCTGATCTGTCTAGCTAAGTTCTGCAGTCTGATTGTGAAGCAAAATATCGTGTTCTCTGTACTCTTGAAAATAACTACCGTAATAGTTGCTCTGTGTGGATACCTTGATCTGTGGATGGCTGTAGTAGCCGACGTGTTGGGGTTGTTATTTGTCATTATCAATGGACTGCGTCCTCTGATATGGAAGGCGTCCAAGAAACACACCAAGGGCAACAAGGATATCGAAGTCAATGGAAAAAAGCATCGGTTTTCATACTACGAAAAAAGTATCAAAATCCCGATTCCTAATCTTGAAAGGATAAAGAAATCTTGGAGAGTTGACTTTCCTCAGTATGGACATGCTAAACGAGCGCGAGCATCTTCGACTCCATAGTATGGAAACTGCTTTTCAGACTTTTTTCAATATCTTGAATCTTAAGAAAAAAAACTTTATCGATTGAACCGTGAAACCACAAAACTCTGAGGTATCTAAGTTAGGGCATGACTAATTCACTGATTGAATCAACAAACCTGTTGTAGGTTGATCTAAGTCAGGGCACTGCTAACTCACAGCAGATAGAATACGAATTTAGGTTTATCGAATCGGAGGGAGCCCGGAGAAACCCTTAGAATCGAGGGAAAGGCCAAACAAATATATTTGTTCATAGAATTTTTTTGGCTGTTTCTGTTTTGCAGAGGTAGTAAAACCGTAGACTCTACGAAAAACCCTCGCTCAGTGAAATGAAAGAAGGCTTGGAATCGAACCCGGATAAGACACCAAAGAGGATTTTGTTAATGTAATACTTCTTCGTCACCATATATTCGAAATTATATAAAAGCCAAAGAAAACTAGAATTGCCCTATTTCACTATGACGTCACATTAAAACAATCTTCAACAATCTATTGTTTAAGCGCAAAGGATCATGGTCGTCGGAAGGGGTCAAATCAACGCAAATTCACCGAAAATTGTCCTAAAACTCGTATCAATCCACGAAGAGAAGTAGAATAGCCAGCAAACGCTCAGAATATTTTTTTACTACATATTAACACATATTATATTTGAAAACCAGGCCATTTTAGATTAAACTGTTTCGCTAGGAGTAAATTTTGTTGAATTTTCTATTGGATTTGTCGATTCTAGCCCCCACATAAACAAGCAGTGACGTCATAGTGGAATAGGGCAATTACTATTAGTAGTTTTGATACTAACATTTTTTTGAGTTCATTTGGTTTGATTTTTTCTTTCTTTCTAACACAATCAATAGGGGTGGTGTGTTTTTTGCTTGTTGTTCTTAGGCCCCGTCCACACGTATCCGCAAATTTTTGAGTATCCGCAAAGTTTTTTTGCAGATACGGGTTGCGTCCACACGTGTCCGGAAATTTTTGTATCCGTATCCGGAAAATTTTCGAAAACGGTCTCCAGAGTAGGAATTTTCGAATACGCTGCGAATACGGATACGTGTGGACGGTCGTATCCGCAAATTTTCGAATACGCTGACGTAAACACGATTTTGCGCATGCTCAATAAGAAAAGCTATCCGTCAAAGGGACTAGGCACTAGCGTTCATCAGGGCGGATCAAGAAATTTCCGGATACGTGTGGACAGTGAAAACGATTCGAATACGCTGCGTGTGGACGCGAACATTTTCTTATCCGAAAAAAAAAATTGCGGATACAAAAATTTCCGGATACGTGTGGACGGGGCCTTAGTTTTGTCATTATTCAATTATTATTTTTTTATTGTTTGTATTTGCTAATATTATAGCTAATAAATAAAAATAAATGATAAATAATTCTAAATTTCATAAAATAACAAATGTGATTAAAAGTATGCCCAGTCTTGCAAACAACTGATTTTTTTCCTTCAAAATTTCGATTTTCATATACTTACGTCGACTTGAATATAAATATTTCTACTATATATAATGGAAAGAGTTTAAGTTTCTTTTTTTCCTTATTCCCTGCAGTTAGCATGGAAATTCTCCAAGAAAAAGTAACACTTTAGCGGCTTTAGCAGCCTAGTAAATTCATATTTTGGAAGAGTTTCAAACTCGTGAAGAAATTAGTTTGGAAACGGGGTATTAATGACTTTTTAAATGTTTTCTTGAAATAATTTCTTTTGTCAAAGACCAATTTTTGTTTCCGAAATTTTCCCACTCCTCAGATTTCCTGAATTTGAATATTTCTTGGAGAAGAAGAGAAATATTGCCAAAATTGTGAACTATAGACCAATTATTTTTTTCGTTTTGGCAAATTATTATATATTTATATGAATGAATTAAACTCGCTAAACTAAAATTCTCAATATTAATGAGTTGTTCGCTGAGTTGTTTTCTAAGCGACGATACGCCGAAAGAACAAAAGAAAATTTCTAACGATTAGTTGTGGGTTCGAATACAAACCACTCTAAGCTTCATTTTTTATAGTGTTCGCAAGTTCTTATTTTGATAACATTATTGGAAAACTTAAATGGAATCGAGTTTTAAAGCTATTCCTTAACCTGTTCTGTTTACACTGTTGTTAGAATTTGCCAAATTTTTGAAGCACAAATGAGTGGAAAGTTCAGAAAATTTATTTTTTAAGCAGACCACATTCTGCATGTCGCCATCGTTGCCTTGGATTCGAGTCATTAAAATCTCATGCTTCAAGTTTTATTCTCAGCGATACAGTTGTAGTTCACATTGTGAATCTGTCATACCGCTAACCACTGGACTTCTCCAACTAATTCAAGAATAATGTCACTGAAAAGAGAACTAGTTGACGAACAAATTGATGTAAACGGAATAAAAGTTTCACTAAAGTTGCTTGAAGAAGAGCAAAATATCGAAGAACTTGAACCTCGAACGAGGTTTTTGTCGGCTGGGTTCGCGTTTATAGCCTTTGGCGTAATATTGTGGAGCGTTCTTGGTACGCAAGCTGTTGATAAGATTGTGAAAGCTTACAATTTTCAAGAAGGCCTTTGCCAGGCTAACCAAAGCGTAGTTCTAGTGAGAAACCAAAGCTGCCAATGCGAAGGAAGATCTGTCTGTCAGTCGAAGTTTCCTTGCGTGAAAGTTAATATCGTCGTCAAGGATTTGAGGAGCAACTTGAATGAATCTGTTCTTCAGACTGTTATTTACGATAGTATCTACGATCTCAATGCTGAGGTAAATATCTACAGAAAAATAAGTAACTTCTTTTTCATTTTTAAACAGTATTGTAAAATCATGGTAATTTATGTTCGGGAAAGAAAATAACTTAGTTGAAACAAGCAAGTAACATATACTAATAGTCAAAATAAATTTTTGATTTACTGAATTTCTCCCTTAGAATTTTTGGCAATTGGGATCTTTTCTTTTTAATTTGTAGTATTTTGGAGAGGTTGTGACACTATTATCACTGAAAAAAACTAAATATCTTTGATGGTCTATGTTTCAACCGTCATGTTCCTCTATATTCTAAGCTATATACCCTGCGAGTAGAGGTTGCCCCCCCCCCCCCCCCCCCCCCGAAACTGCCTCAGGTCCGCTAATATATCCACTGTTGCTTTGAAATTGCATGAAAGTGCCCTAAGAGAATACCAGACTGTGTCAAGTGGGACGGTACAATCCCCCCCCCCCCCCCCCCCTTCGTATATAGGGCTGAGCGGCAGCTCTGCAAGCATGGTCAAAGTGTACACTTGTTTCAAAATACTTTTTGGAGGCTACCATTTTAAAAGGCCACCATGTCTCCTCCACATAAAAGCGAGGTTATATAATAAAAATGGTATCTATTCTCTACTTTCACATCCCCATAATACCTTGCGTCTTTGGG